TATTTGTTAATGACATCCTGATATATTCCAAGACTAAGGAGGAGCATGAGAGACACTTGAGCATTACACTTCAGACTTTGCGTGAGCATCAGCTCTATGCTAAGTTTGAGAAGTGTGACTTTTGGCAGGAGCAGATTCAGTTTTTGGGGCATGTGATCTCTAAGGATGGAGTTTCAGTAGATTCTGCCAAGGTGGAGGCTGTGATGAGTTGGAAACGGCCTACTACTGTCACTGAGATTCGTAGCTTCTTAGGACTGGCAGGATACTACAGGCACTTTATTGAGGGTTTCTCCAAGATTGCTGCACCTTTGACCCGGTTGACTCGGAAGGATGTAAAGTTTGTTTGGGACCACCGCTGTGAGCAGGCGTTTGAGGAGCTGAAGACGAGATTGACATCAACACCAGTTCTTACCATTCCTGTTAGTGGTGAGAGATTTGTGATCTACACAGATGCATCACATCAGGCTCTTGGCTGTGTATTGATGCAAGATGATAAGGTGGTAGCGTATGCCTCTAGGCAGCTTAAGCCACATGAGCAAAATTACCCTACAGATGACCTGGAATTGGCAGCAGTGGTTCTTGCATTGAAGGTGTGGAGGCATTACTTGTATGGCGAGGAATTTGAGTTATTCTCTTATCACAAGAGCCTCAAATACCTCTACACTCAGAAGGAGTTGAATAAGAGGCAACGGAGGTGGATGGAGAAGATAAAGGATTTTGATATGACTCTTCAGTATCATCCTGGAAAGGCGAATGTGGTAGCAGATGCCTTGAGTCGGAAACCGAGAGGATTAGTTGCCTTTATGATGATTCAGGAGTGGATGATGTTAGAGGCATTGGCAGAGTTTTCTATCATGCCGAGTTCTCAGAGTACAGGGGCTATTCTTTGTAGTTTGACTGTACAACCTACTTTGATCAGCCGGATCATTCATTTTCAGACTCAGGATGACAGGTTACAGACCAAAGCAGTTGAGTCTGTTAATGATGAAGGTAATGTTGACTGGGCGTATGGAGCTGATGGTGGTATGAGATTTCGAGGTAGGCTATGTGTTCCAGACTTAGCAGACCTCAAGAAAGAGATTTTAGAGGAGGCACATCACTCTAGGTACACAGTGCACCCAGGTGGCACTAAGATGTATCATGATCTTAAGAGGCAGTTCTGGTGGGAAGGCATGAAACGTGATGTGGTAGAGTTTGTATCTAGATGTCTCACTTGCCAGCGAGTGAAAGCTAAGCACCAGAGACCAGCAGGACTATTACAGCCTTTGCCTGTGCCTGAGTGGAAATGGGAACATGTGACGATGGATTTTGTTGTGGGGTTACTGAGGTCGATACATAACCATGATACAGTGTGGGTGATAATGGACCGATTGACTAAATCAGCTCATTTTCTACCTATTCGAGCTACTGATACTGTAAAGGAATTATGTAAGATCTACATTAGAGACATAGTTAAGCTTCATGGAGTGCCGGTGTCTATTGTCTCAGATCGTGATCCTCGTTTTTCATCTCGATTTTGGAGTAGTTTCCAAGCAGCTTTTGGCACTCCTTTGAGTTTGAGTACTGCTTTTCATCCTCAGACCGATGGCCAGTCCGAGAGGGTCATTCAGGTGTTGGAGGATATGCTTCGTGCTTGTGTGCTAGATTTTCGGGGCAGTTGGGAGGATCACATTCCATTGGTTGAGTTCGCTTATAATAATAGCTATCAGGCTAGTATCGGCATGGCACCATATGAGGCACTTTATGGTAGACCTTGTCGTTCAGCTGTATGTTGGGCTGAGGTTAGTGATGGTAGTTTTTTGGGGCCAGAGTTGGTGCAAGAGACTACGGAGAATCATTCGAGATCGACTTCGCACAGCTCAGAGTCGACAGAAGAGTTATGCAGAACGACGCCGTCGTGCTTTGGAGTTTAGTGTGGGTGACTTGGTGTTCTTGAAAGTATCACCAATGAAGGGGGTTCTGAGATTTGATAGAAAGAAAAGGAAGTTAGCTCCTCGATTCATCGGACCTTTTGAGATCACAGAGAGGATTGGGAAGGTGGCGTATAGATTAGCTGTACCACCTAGACTATCAGCTGTTCACGATGTTTTCCATGTCTCTATGTTTAGGAGGTGCTTGGGGGATGAAACTCAGGCCATTGACTGCACAGAGGTCCAGATTCGTCCTAATGTAACCTATGTTGAGACGCCTGTTCGCATTGTTGACAGTATAGTGAAATAGTTGAGGCGGGCAAAGAAACCTTTGGTGAAGGTGCAGTGGAATCATCAGGACGAGAGAGAGGCTACTTGGGAGCTAGAGTCAGAAATGAAAGAAAAGTACCCACAACTCTTCGAATAAGGTATGCAAATTTCGAGGACGAAATTTCTTTTTAGGTGGGTAGAATGTAAAACCCTAAAATTTCGTACATTATTTTTATTATTTAGTATTTAGTATTTTAATGTGATAGCAGAGATAATAGAGTTTTTCTTTTAAAATTTAAAACTTTAAATAAGAGTCCTAGGTTATCTCAAATGCAATTATATTTATCCTTTATATTTTCACGTTGTATCAGTTCTACGAGGATTTATTTTTAAAAAAATAATAATAATAATATTAGCACGATACAGCGTGATAGGACGGAGACCTAGAGAGAGTGATCTGACGTCGTGTCTTTCTGCAATAGCCGAGGGAAGGAACGATAATCTGGAATTCGCGTAGGAAGGAAGAATTAATTATTATCCCAGGCAAGTTAATCTTGCATTGTAGTTCTATATATATTCGTAACTTCTTAAAAGATGTATATTTTAGCATATTTTAATATGTTGTTGCAAGTTACTGATTAAGACTACAATATATATTGGTTGCATGAGTAGTTGTATTTAATCAAGTAATCTTAAGAGTCTTTACATTTCTTACGAAAAATGTTTATTGGTTGAATATGAAATTTAGTTTATTTCATTGTTATAATTTATAGTAATAATAATGATTTATATATGAAGGTATCTATATTTACATGTTTGAGAATGACTGCATGTATGTAATTTGTAAAGTTACTTTGGTTATAATTAAGATGCGTGAACCTTTAAGTATATTTGTATTTGAGTATATAAAATTTCATATAATCTTAAATTTAAGTTCTGATTAATGACAAATCTGATCTAATGTAAATATATATATATAGATGTATGTGCGTGTGTTTATGTGTGGACTGTTTGAAGTAAAGTAGTCTTCATGTGGTAGATATATATTTATAGGAAGGAAATTCTTGTAGAGTTTCAGTCAAAGAGGGATTTATGTGGGTACGTTGGTAAATGGCAGTGGTGTAGTCATTAGTACTGGGTCTTGGAGATCATTATTTTGGGATTAAAAAATTATGGTGTTTAGACTAGTTTCATAAACTAATTCTCATGTGTATGTTAATAAATTAAGCAATAAATAATCCATGATTGTGGGATGACCTGTATTTAACAAAGTGGATTTGGACTTGGTTATGCATGGTTGGAAACACAACTTAGAAGTTGCTGGTTGAGCTCCTGGAAAGAATAATTTAAACTGGTGGAAGACTCATTTTGGGTGTTTTGATTTCACCCACATTGGGCCATTGGATGGTGTATGGGGCGTGTTTGGACTAGGGTGTGAGCAGTTGGCCAACGAGTTAGGCTGTGTGGTCCATTAGTCAAGATCTAAATGTTAGACCATTTCTTTGTCCATCAGAAATTATTTATTTATTTATTTTTATTTAATAATTTAAACTGATTTAGAATTAGAAATAAATTAGGGAAATATATTATTAATGTTCCAAAAATTATGATATTTTTCACAATATTATTTTTATCATATGTGAACTGTTTGAAAAAGTATTATTTTTTTTAATACAAAGGCAGGGAGTACGGAAAAACTATTAAGCGATAGATTTTGAAATTTTGCAGGGTCATGTATATAAGGATAGGCTATGTCTAGAAATTTTGTACTCCCACTAGTTGGGTCTTTAGGGTTCTATTCTAAATTAAAAGTGTGTTTGGTTGTATTACTTATTAATTTATATTATTAATTAATAATGTCTCTCATAATTCACCATAATTAATAATAATGAGTTTGGATTAGTCAGAGGGCATTCAGGGACTGACCCTATGATGACTCCTGGGTATGGTCAGGGACCTACCTATTTGGGAGTACACTACCCTTTTGTTATGGCCATGGGTCTAATGAGCCCTTATTGTGTGGACGTGATCAGGGATTATTTGGGGAGTAGACGTACAATCCAGCCACACGTGTGTTTTTGGTAGTCAGGGACTATATGATTCACACCATTTTATTGGACGGGAGCCCGGGGCTCATGTGAGATATGCCGATTTATTAAAAATAAAAGATGGTTATTTATTAAGTTTATAATTAACTGGGTTATACATATTTGAATAATGAACTTATTTGAGTTGCTTATATATACAGGAATACAAGGTAAGGTTAATTTGCTGAATGATGATTGTGTTTAGCATTTATTGCTGAGCTTGTGAGCTCACCCCATTATCACATTTCAGGTACACGTTGAGTATGAACGTGATGGGATTACATGATGGTGATGGATTTTGGCTTGTTTGTCGTATTCTTTGGTTTAGTTCAATTTTCGCATTGTAATAAGAATGACGATATTTTTTTTGAGAGTTAGTTCATTTTGTCCAATTATCATGGATTATTTTTAACAAGGTTGTTTGATATTATGGTTGTATCGATTTAATAAATTAGAGGGTGGTTTACATCTACTTCTTTATTTAATTATTTTTATTGTAAGGTTGTGGTTGTGTAAAGAAAGTCATGCCAAATCTTAATACGAGACAAGAGTTCATGTATTTAGGATTTTGGGGCGTGACACTTGTACGCATAGTTACTCCACTTTTACAAGTAGGAATTTTTTTTGTCATAGTTATAAGAGTACAATACAGCCTTTTCACTGCCCAAACCATCTTATTTCAACCAGCCTCTTCATATTATTTATATATATATATATATATGCTGACCCAAGTTCAGTTACACTCAATGAAACCTGCAGCTTTGGCTAGCAACCCGGCGAGCACAAAAGGGTCAGAGGAAAGTGGGTTGTGATCACTTTCCACGAAATAGGTCTCCGACGGCGGCCATTTCTTAATCATAGCGGTTTGCTGCTCCGGTATGAGAACATGATCATTCATCGTCCTAATGTATACACGTCGTACGTCATCTGCACCATTTCCTTCGAATTTAGCGTGCATTATTGCCTTCAATGATACTCCAGGCCGGTGAAGTATCGAACCTAGCACCTCCTCCTGCTCGAAAAATCAATCCGTGTTATTCATGTTAACCACCAGCTGTTCTAAAAAAAAAAAAAAAAAAATTAAATAACTACAAATAATGTATTTGTTTATATCTTTTAATACGGCTCATCAGATTATTTACTATGAATGGAATAATATGGTATATAAAATTATTAATTATTATAATTATTAAAGTGATGATAAAATTTGAATTCGTAACAAATTCTTGGATAATAATTTTGAAAAAGTTTGAAAAATGTTTTGAATTGTTGTTACTTCTTGCGGTCCTTTATAAGCAACGTTCCTATCCTTTGAGGTGGTTGAAGGCTGATCAGGTCCCGAAACACATGTGTAATTGACCAAGCTGCTAAGCACACCACCTGGTGCTCCCTGTTTTATACAATTAATTAGGAGAGGACAGTAGCCACCAAACAAAATAAAATAAAATAAAATAAAAATATTTTTATTTGAATTGGTATAATAAAATGTTGTGTTATTTTAAGAAAACTGATATAAAACATTTGAGGTATTGAAATAACAATGTGACACATATTGAAATTTAATTGAAACACTCAATATGAATAATGCAAGAGTTTATATGCTAGAATATATGGAGAATGCATATTCCATTGAATTCAATTCTTCTATGTTAAATTTTAATGACCTAGTGTAAATTTTTATAAAGCAATTTTTGAAAATTGTCAATCAAATATATATATTTTTTATAATTTTTAAATGAGTTAAGTGCATAAAATTCCCTTATATTCTCGATGTAGTGCATAAAACCCCATGTATGGTATAAAACACCCCCTACACTTTTATTTTGGTGCAAATACCCCCTCATTAGACTTAAAATGGCTATAATGCCCTTATGTAAGTAGAATAAAATAATAGTTAAAAATGATGGTCATGTAAAATGACTGTTTTGTCCAATTTTTTAAAAATAATTTAAGGACCAAGCTTGAAAGAGCAAGCTACTTAATTCACTAAATATATATATATAATGACACAAAAAAGAATAGCAACTGCATAATTGGTTATGGGAGGGAGGGAGAAAGAGGGAGTGTGTGTGAAGAGGGCGTACAAGAAAAGCGTTGGGAGGGAGTTTAAACACATAATGCGAGGGGCAAAATGGGAAGGGGAAACACAAAAATTGGATTCTCATAATTATTCGTTGTCAAAAAATGGTCAGATTAAAGTTATGTGCACATTTATTTTGAAAAACAGGGACTAAAATGTACCTTTTTTTAAATAAATAAATAAATTAGAAGCCGACAACACCCACTTTGAAAAGGAGATTGTAATTGTGCACAAAACCCATAATGTACTGTTTTTTTTTTTTTTTTTTTTTTTTTTTTTTTTTTTTTTTTTTTTCGGCACTTAACCTTTTTAAAATTTTAGTTCTCAGAAAATATGAAGAATTAATGTTTAGGCGGGCGAGACAGAATGAGCGGGCACTACTACTAACCAAGCCAAGCCCAGTTCTAGCCTAAAGGCGCTGGTAGCTTGCTTCCAATTGCCTTATATGAGAGTTGCGGCCATGGCCCGAAGGGGCCTTAACAGACATATTTACCAAGAATTGAAAGCTAGTCTCAAATGATAGAACCAAATGAATCCAAAAAATTTCTGTTCTATTTCTATCCTAAGTTGAATTTACAAATGTTGCACTTAGCTTACTAACAAGACTAGAGAAACACTTGCATTACACAGTCAACACTAGAGAAAAGGGTATAGTAAAAAAAGGTAAAAAATAAGTAATTAGTAGAAACTTTACATCCTTCTTGTCTTGCTCTGTCATGAACCCGTGCTTTAACATTGTAGCTGCAACATATACTGCTGCCCAAATTTTCTTACCAAACTTGTGACTCGCGTCTGTCACGCTCAGACCTCCAGCACTGTGCCCTACCAATATGACCTACAACATATATAACCAATATGTACAATTGTGTGTGACTGTGTAATGTTAATTTAAAGGCCATTCGAAAAAGAAAAGAAAAGAAAAAAAAAATTAAAGCAGAGGACACCTTTTCATGATGAGCCAAATTGGCCATGAAATTGATAAGAGGCTTGTTATACTCATCGAAAGTACGAATTTCACAAGCATTGGACCGATCGAGACCGGCACTCTTGAGGTCGAGACATGTGACCTTGTAGCCATATGTCTCCAAGAGGGCCCTGATTTTGTACCAAGCCCAAGCCCCACCTCCATAGCCATGCACTAGAACAAAGTGTGGCTTAGGGCATGTCACTGTCTCTGTTTTCATAATTCTACCCAGAGTTCTGATTCTTAGGTACTCACCATGATCACTTGATTCACTTCTGTACCAAACACAGAAGGAGAGGAAGAGAAGGAGAAGAAAGAAGAGGAAAGGAAATGTAAGAAGCCTTTGGGACATTTTCACTTTGGATGTAGCTTCACCTGCATTTCTCCACTATATATGCCTGCCTTTTTTTAAATGAACCAATCGATCAAGTAGTGCAACACATGGAGAGTTAAAAAGGAAAGGACAAAAAAATTTAAAACAAGTGTCTGTCTCGCTCATTTCTGGATAATAATCTTCAAAGAGATCCGAAAATTATAGAAAACTTGTCGATCCAACTAGACTTTCGAGGTATTTATCATTATATTTTTTCTTCACAATTTTTTTAAGAGAAGTTGAGTCAATCATGCCCTTATTCTCAAAATTATTTTTATGGTAGTAAAATATCAATAACATGGTAAAGGCACTTACGCATTTAATCACTGACTAATTAAATCACAGTATTGAATGCATTTTTATTTATGTCTGCCTGCAAGTTTAAAATTGAGCAATAAAGTAGTGTAACACCTGAAAAAGAAATGGGAGTTACCCATTTCTGAAAAATAGAAAAATAAACAGTATAGAAATCGAAAATCAGAAAAAGTGTTTTTTTTTTTTTTTTTTTAAGTGGTGGTTGTTGTGATGACTCTTCTTTTTGGTCGTTTGTTACCCGCATTTCAGTGCATGCAGGGCATCTTACGCTAAATGTTGGGTGTTGGTTTAGGTACTCAGTTGTGAGTTACAGTAATGACTGACATTGATGAGTTTGTGTGTACAAACAATATTTGGTGGTGCTTTTCGGATTTTTACTTTAGTCGATAAGGAGGTGTATTTAATGGATGAGATAAAATTAAAATGTTTTCTGATTAGATTCTCCAACTCCTCTACCAACCGATTTTAAAGAGTACGTGTTTAAATTATCTTGCCTGAAATGCCTTCACAATCACATCTAAAACTTAGGCTACTTACAGCATCTCCAATACTCTTTCATTTTGAGCTCTCAAACTCATAATTTGAGAGATGGGTAAAAAAAGCTACTCATAATTTTAGGTGGTGGTTGTTGTGATGACTCTTCTTTTTGGTCGTTTGTTACCCGCATTTCAGTGCATGCAGGGCATCTTACGCTAAATGTTGGGTGTTGGTTTAGGTACTCAGTTGTGAGTTACAGTAATGACTGACATTGATGAGTTTGTGTGTACAAACAATATTTGGTGGTGCTTTTCGGATTTTTACTTTAGTCGATAAGGAGGTGTATTTAATGGATGAGATAAAATTAAAATGTTTTCTGATTAGATTCTCCAACTCCTCTACCAACCGATTTTAAAGAGTACGTGTTTAAATTATCTTGCCTGAAATGCCTTCACAATCACATCTAAAACTTAGGCTACTTACAGCATCTCCAATACTCTTTCATTTTGAGCTCTCAAACTCATAATTTGAGAGATGGGTAAAAAAAGCTACTCATAATTTTAGGTGGTGGTTGTTGTGATGACTCTTCTTTTTGGTCGTTTGTTACCCGCATTTCAGTGCATGCAGGGCATCTTACGCTAAATGTTGGGTGTTGGTTTAGGTACTCAGTTGTGAGTTACAGTAATGACTGACATTGATGAGTTTGTGTGTACAAACAATATTTGGTGGTGCTTTTCGGATTTTTACTTTAGTCGATAAGGAGGTGTATTTAATGGATGAGATAAAATTAAAATGTTTTCTGATTAGATTCTCCAACTCCTCTACCAACCGATTTTAAAGAGTACGTGTTTAAATTATCTTGCCTGAAATGCCTTCACAATCACATCTAAAACTTAGGCTACTTACAGCATCTCCAATACTCTTTCATTTTGAGCTCTCAAACTCATAATTTGAGAGATGGGTAAAAAAAGCTACTCCAATGACCTTTCATTTGGCCTCTTCAAAGCTCCCTCCCCCTCCCCCTAAACACACACACACACATAATTTCAACCCAAATTCGTCTATCTATCTATATATATATATATATATATTAAAAAGATTATAAAAAATTTTACCAAATAGGATTTAGTTTGCAAAACAAGAATTACAAACCTTGATTAGTTGATTTAGGAAAAAAATTAAAACAAAACCCATACATACAATTTAGCCGTTGGAGAGAGAGAGAGGCCAAGCTTGAAAGTTGAGAGTTGAGAGAGCGGGCTAAAGCTTGTGAACGGCGAACTCGTACTGGAACAGCAGGCGATGTAAACTGAAAGATATGGGTTTTTGAACGATCTGAAATGATATGCCGATATGGGTTTTGATCTTTCAACTTCTGATTCTTGTAGATTTTCTAGCTTGCAGAGAGAGAGAGAGAGAGAGAGAGAGGGGGGGAGTTCAGAGTTGAGAACGAGAATAGAGATGGAGGCGAGTGGGGAGGCTGAAATGATTTACCCTAAAAATATATATATTTTTAATAATAATATACTCAAATATATATAATATACATATACATATATATATATAATATTTATGAATTTCTGAAAAAAAAAAAAATTATATAACAATATAATCAAATATATAAATTTATACATATATATATATAATATTTTTTTTTTTTTTTGTTCTTTTTTTACCAGATATTTTAGATTTTTATTTCTTTTTAATTAGATTTAATTTTAGTTTCCTTATGATGTCTACAACTTGACTTGGAATGTGTCTAAGATTAATATTACTAATACAAATATGAATGGTGAGAATGGTAATTAAAAAAGAATGGTGGTTGTGTCAAAAAATAGTATCCATTGGAGCAGAATTGCTAAAATGTAGCATTTTGACACTGTAGTACCTGTCAAAATATAAATTTGACAACTGAAAATAGCTTTTAGGATGCTCTTAGGTGATTGCGGTGGGAGGGGAAAGTTTATGGAATCGCGAAGCTTTAGGAAAGAAAACCCGAGTGCGGTGGGAGGGGAAAGGTTAACCCATCTCGTTTATGTTGAAAATTTATCCTTTTACCCTTAATATAATGCATAAAAATCTTAACCTTCCGATTACTCAAATCATTAGATGAAATATAATTTGGATAGATTTTTTTAAGTATGTTGGAAACTTCTAAACTTATCAATGTTAGTGTGATTTGATACGTATTCTTAAATAGACTTTTTAAAACTTGAGTGAAAAACTTAGAGAAAAAAAATTGAGTGGAAGTTTAAATGAGAGGGGACGGAAGAATTTAAATGAGAGGGGACGACAAGGTGAAAGGAGGTTTGCTAAATGATTTTGGGTGAAAACTTTAATGGGCGCAGGGATGGGAAAACTTTATCAATGTTATGCTATAATTTTGCCCCGCCATGTACAATTTAATTTACATATTTACATTTAATGAAAAATTATTTCGTCTATTTCTAATTCTTCTCCACTTTCCTACTTTTTCTACTCAAACTTGTATTTTCTCTGTAAGTTTTCAAAATTCAAAAATCGCACATATGTATTTCTTAATTTGCCCAATAAAGACAATCAAAGTATGTACTTTTAAAATAAAATAAAAAAGTAATGAGTTCCTCGTATGTTAAATGTTAGATAGACAAATTAGTTAAGTACTCTTATTTCATCAATGTATATATTTCTCAGTATATATATTAAGTACTCTATATAACAATATTAAAGTAACAAATGATTAGAAGAAAAGTTGCAATGGTGAAGAACTAAAAAAAAAAAAAAAAAAAAGAAGAAGAAGCAAATCTATTTCAAGAATAAATAAATTATGGTCTTAAACGGGGTCGGACGGCCATCCGTAGGGATAAAAATATTAAACTGTTACGGAAATGGAATGAAAAGTCCCCAATTTTTGCAGTTTTGGATGGGGACGGGGACAAAATTTTTAAACAATTGCGAAGACGGAAGGAGGTATACCCGTCCAAACTCGCCCCGTTGTCATCCTGGCCCGTGAGAGTGATTATGTAAAATATTAAAGTCTGTACAAACTAATCCTGACGTGGTTGATTGAGGGACATATGTGGCAATCTTTTTTCTACCATCTTGTTTTAAGTAATTTTATAAACAAATGACAAATAAGTCAACCTGATTAAAATGCCCAAACAAACTTTTAAACTAATGAAATTGTAGGATCGATTGAAATAACGAATTGAAGAATCTCCCCTCCACTTTCATTGAATAGTCTTTTCATAAAATTCTATATCTATATATAATTCAGCCACTAATGTCAAATCGAATATTTGTTTCCCTAATATCATGCCATAATAACCTAGTGGTGTAACAGACATAGAATCCCAATTCCATCACAGGCTTACTCTAATTAGGAATTCATCTGATCATAGAGTCTGACTCATCCGCAATACAATACGTCCTACTCATAAATTTAATTCTTTATGTTGAACCAAAGAATAATGATAGATATTTCAAAAATTGGGTGTAATATTGATAGATATTTTAAAAATTGGGTGTATCTGAATGTTTTATGTGAATGGAGGTGACATTATCTCTTACTCACGTAATTTTAATCAAATGCAATTCACGAACTTTAGAGACTTCTGTACTTATAACCCAACCATTTGATTAAATTAAAATTGAACCTTATTATAATTGAAATTAGGTCAAGAGTGTGGTAGGTCTGCCATATTAACAGCATCCCTATGCTAGGATTAAGAGCATACCACTTATTCAACTCACAATTTGTTGTTGTTGGTGTGTGATTTTTTTTTTTTTTTTTTTTTTTTACTGTAACTGTTTTGGCGACTTGATTTTTTTTAATGTCTCCTGACAATTGAAAAAAAATATTGATCCAAAATAAAGATACCTATTAGTAGAAAAGGGTTCAATTAATATAATGATTCCAATTTTCCTAAATTTGAAAACTCTAAACATTTTTTAACATATTATTTTTGAAAATTACAAATGTAGAGGAGCATGACAAAACAAAATCGCTTGTATGTACAAAAGATTTAGATGAAATATTTTGTTTTTGTTGCAAGTTTTAAATTCAAAATATACAA